ATCATCGTAGAATACTAACATGACTAAGTCATCTAGGCATGACGTCATTGGATAATACTAACATGGCTAAGTCATCTAGGCATTACATCATCGTAGAATACTAACATGGCTAAATCATCTAGGCATGACGTCATTGTAGAATACTAACATGGCTAAGTCATCTAGTCATGACATCATCGTAGAATACTAACATGGCTAAGCAATCTATGCATGACGTCACTGTAGAATACCAACATGGCTAAGTCATCTAGGCATGACGTCATTGTAGAATACTAACATGGCCAAGTCATCTAGGCATGACATCATTGTAGAATACCAACATGGCTAAGTCATCTAGGCATGACATCATTGTAGAATACCAACATGGCTAAGTCATCTANCGTTACAATAGAATACCAACATGGCTTAGTCATCTAGTCACAATAGAATACCAACATGGCTTAGTCATCTAGTCATGACGTTACAATAGAATACCAACATGGCTTAGTCATCTAGTCACAATAGAATACCAACATGGCTTAGTCATCTAGTCATGACGTTACAATAGAATACCAACATGGCTTTGTCATCTAGTCACAATAGAATACCAACATGGCTTAGTCATCTAGTCATGACGTTACAATAGAATACCAACATTGCTAACTCAATATTGTATTTAACAAACATTAACTGAGTTCAAAATGTCAGAGTGCACAGACCATGATCAGTATTATATCAAGTTTGATAAAAACCTGATTGAACAACCTTGAGAAAAATTTAAAGTACCCAGACATATTTACACCATCTCTGACCCATACCAATTGAGAACATGTTTATATGAACTAAGAGATCACAAGTCAATAAAAGGAAATAAAGTTTACAAAATGTTAGAAAAGAGGAATTAGAAAAATACAGGTTATATTATGTCATTGAATGGTAGTCACAATAATACTGTGTTAATATATATAACATCAATTCAACCTAGCATCTTCTCCATGTGTGGAAAATTACATGTATATATATATATAGTGTACATGTTTTTATTAATAGTTTGTAAGTTTAGGATATACAGGGTTTTTAAAAACATTTATGTGGAGATTTACATCATTCGCAATGCTTTGGGTTTAAGACAGACATAGTGATCTTTTAATTGTAAAATCCACGTCTAGAAACTGTGACTATTTACCCCAGATTTATCACAAATTATGGCATTAGCCCTGGGAACTGAGGTCACCATGGTAACCGTGGAAGACATGATAACCACATTCTTCGAAGTTGTGCTTGAAACAGGTGGAGATGGGGTTGTCCTTTTTGTGGTAACTGGAGGGGTTGTCCTTTTTGTGGTAACACTAGGTGGCAGTGGGGGAAGTAGCGTCGTGGTTGATTTGGTCGAGGTTACTATTGTCGTTGGCACTTGGGTTGTATTCGTGGTGACAACACACAAAGTGATATTATCATGGGCCTATAGCCAACAACAAAAAAAAGCAAAAATAAACAAATACTAAACTACAAAGGACCTCATAACTATGCCAAAAACAATAAAACTACAGTACTGTACACATTCAGTATTGCTAAAACATAACATAAATCTTACACACACTGGGCCTTCTTCCTAATACAGTTAAATATTTAAAATCAAAACATTTATTTTTTTCGATTTCGAAATCAGGTCAGGTCATGTAAATGAAGCTGCTAAATATCTCTATATCAGAGTACTATATCTACGAAGCCAATTCTGAGAACTAAAAGCCTGTATCCCAAAGATCTGTCCCACAAATCTTACAGGCACTACCTAATTAATTATCCACAAAACCCAAGTAAGCTTATAGTTTGAATAAAGCACAAGGACATGGCTAAATATAGAGAAAGCAAAATAAGATAAATACTTCAGTTTTCAATATATCTATCTACTCGTTTAGTACATTAAGTAGGAAGCATAACACCGATTTGTACTTTGACTACGTACTGTATAATACTACTGTAGTACAGACATGAGATTTGTAAGAGACACTGGGCTGTTAAGATATACCCAAAGGTAGTGATCTAGATATAACCTGTTGATGGAACTGCTGCAGTTTGTGACCTGATAAGGACCCGGGGCCTTCAAAGTAAATAGTCTTTTGTAGCACAGATACATATAGTACCCCTACCATTCTCCCACTCTTGGAGCCCTTAGTTACATCAACACCTACTGAGATGTTTTCGAGGGAAACATGGATATAGGATGAAGGGAAAAAGGAGTACAATCCTGTTCCCTGGTTGAGGACTTAAGGCAGTATCTACCTATCACATGACTTAAAGGAAAATACAGAGCCAACACATCAAGTTTCCACTTATAGGCTAAACAGAACTCTATATTTTTGACAAGTCTGAAAAAGGCTTCAATATTTTGTACATACATTATGTGACAACCATCTGGAATAGATTGACTATTAAGAGACTACTAAACTGCAATAGCCCCACTGTCCTCAGCCGAACAGAGAAGACTTTAATGTAAAAAGTCTGGTTACCAACTTAGAGAAATTATACAGCTGGGCTACAGAAGTATGGATTAATGATAAACTAGAATGTATTGTGTAATGCTACGATGGGCAGAAAGTGTACAGCAGATATTGAGATTTCTACATAGGTAGTGAGTTGAAACTTTTAATAAGGACATATTTCGGAGCTGCACGACCGATGATTAAAACTACAGTAAAATTTTACGATTTACGTCACAACAATTTGTACACAACAATTTACACTATATCATATAATGTTGCCGTTTTATACACAATCCATTACAAGAGATCCTAGACAGATCTTGGCACCTACCATCATCAGATCACATCTTTAGTAGTTCTATGTATTTCCATACTGCTGAGTATGAGAGTGTCCTTCCAAAGTGTGGTCATTGTTCAGCATTTAATCCTTGACAAATAGTGACAACAAACTTGAATTCTCAAACTTTAAGATGGCTATTTGGTGGCCATTTTGTTTTCTGATAGGTCTCAAAATAAGTCATGCACAACTACGGATTAAGGGGAACCTACTTATGAAATTTGAGAAAGATCAGTTTTGATCACACAGGATTGTCAAATGCCAAAATTTGATGCAACAAAATTTAAAACGACCCCATTTTGAGCAAAACACCATTTTCTCTCTCTCAAAGACGGTAAGTTGATCTTGACGCCTACGAACATGTAGCCTGGAGTTGCAGTAAACAGACATACATTACTGTCATACAGAATATCAACCAAGTTTCTATACAATTCTCTGTAAATTAATAGGGACAGGATAGTTAACAACTAAGAAACAGAGCTGCATCAATTTCCTTGCAGTAGAACTTGAATAAGTGCAGTCTCTCTTAGCAGGTACGTATATGGGGTATGTGTGTATGGTTGTGTGTTTGTGGTGGTGAAATTCTAATGGCCTTCTTGCGTTAGAACAAAAAAGTTATATATGAAGGAACATAATCAGAATCATTTGAAATGTAACATGGACTTTGTAAGATCACTTAAAACCATTTGCAACAGTATATTACCTAGGTGTATTGTCTACAAATTTCTAATTTTCATATAAAACCCATATATGGCAATTGTTATCACTTTGATTATCTCGAATGACCCCAACACATCATGAAATTAATTATCAAGGACACCGTGAACTATACAGTGACCCGGTCGGTGCAGTTGATAACAAACTCGCTTCTGACTAAGACAAATGTAGTTTGATTTCCTGATCGGAGGTGAAAAGGTATAGTACACCTGCCCTACCACTTGTTTTTTTTTCTGCGTACTCCAAATTCTTCTCACATTGAGACCCCCTGCATCCTAACATCCGGGCCAACAAGACTGCTTAATATAAGTTGATAGAACTGGTTTTGCAATTGTTGTAAAATAAATAAAGTTTAATTTAAAACTTTATTTATTTTAACAACTCCATTAGTATGATTTTGAATGACTACCCTCTAAGTTTGGTTGAAATCTGCCAAGAAGCAACTGTTTCGTTAAACTCTCATGCAAATTTTCTGTTTTGAAACGGGCATTTCTTTGATCTTTCCTGCATAGAGTTATATGGTTTACAAATGGACATTGTTACTTGACCTTAACAAATAGATTGCCTTTTCCCCAAACAATAGAATGTCCGAACTAACACAACAGAGATAGGACATACCGGTGATGAAGATTTGTAAAGCCTTCAGTGATTGGTTGACATTGAGAACTAGAAATAAACATGCACAGAAGTTAGGGTTATGAAGCATTGTTAGACCTTCAGTGTTTGGTCAGTGGTTTCAGAATGAGGCTTCAGCAAAAATTTGGTAACTGGTCTCCAAAATAAAGCAAGCAAATTAAAACCAAGTCCTAATATCACAAAACTTCTATATTCTAAGAATGTTCTTAATGTTATAAACCACCACTTCAACACCATTATAACATCGCTGGTAACAAACATACACAAAATGTCATGCAAAATCAAAATTATTCTAAATTGAATTCTTTTGAACCTGACCAAATCAAAGCTTAAGTCTGGGCAAGTCGAGTTTAAATATGTATGGTGAATGAGTTAATTTCTTCTTTGACCTAGTGTAATTTGTTGCATTTAGTAAGATCCAGACAACATACACTGTATATTGGGAAACTTTCTGAGTGAAATTTTTGCCGACCACTCGAAGAATCTGTTTTCACGCAGTTTCAATTTATAGAGTATGTTGTGTAATTACTTTAGCTGTTGTGATAATTTTGTCCTCATTACTGAGGGCGAAAAAAAAGATAAAAATTTGAGCTTCGGCAATTTTTTTCCAGTATACAGTATCTGGAATGCAACCTACATATAGAGATAGCAAATCTATAATTTAGAATCTATGGATTAGAATCTTCGCGAAATATGATAGTTGATCTAAAGTATTCAGAGATTCTTTACAAAAGTCTTGTTCTGCTACAGTCTTTAAGTACAGTCATACATCTAAACACACTGAGTAGATATCATACAGAATTAAATGAGTAAATTAAACAAGGCACTGTAACGTGTGTAAATGGTACCTTTGTCGTACATCCCTTGTCACGCCAGCTCTGTCTGTTCCAGTCGACTCCGTCGGAGCACCGCTGTATCTCGCCACACCATTTACAGTCAAACCCGAGTTTATCAGTCACACATGTATCACAGTCCGTAAGTAGGTTACAGGCTGGTAGATTCAAAAAGTACAATTATTAAACATTTGGTATTATACTCAATTACTAGATTATCTTCCTTCCCTGTATTTTCAATTTACTGAAATTTTTCTTCTTTTTTTGTTTAGATTTTGAATTATAGAATACATCTTACTGTAATGGTACAAAGCGAAGCATGCAATGTTTTGTCAAGATCAAGGATTAAATATATCTGAATAACGGAATAAAGGCATTGATTTTGACTATTCACCGAAACATTTGTTTTAACCAATTAGATCTGCAAAGATTTGAGAATTTTAAAACATTTACCCTGAGTAAATGACAAATTTCATCTTAATCAAATTTTACTCTGTAAAGCCTATCGGATGCTATTTCGTTAAAGGGAGGTAATCTGTACCCAACTTCACAAAAATCCTCAAGTTTTTCCATTAGAAAGTATTGCTGGAGTTTAGGAAATATCTTAATGCCATGTGCATAAAGGAAATACATTTCCCTATCAGTTATGTTTTCCAATTTCATATTTGAGGGGAGGTAATTCTGTAAGTAAATTAAGAATATTCCTAAAACTGGGATCTTCTATATTGGTAGAATATTGATTTCTTTCTCACTAATCACTATAATCATGTATCATCAAACAGATGTAGGTTTTCAACTGATTTGACCCACATTAATGGTCACATGACTTACTTTTCTTGGGATGTAGGATGATGACAGTGCCCTCCCTAACCAGGGAGGTGTCCACTTCCACTCTGTGGTACTCGTAAATTGTTCTTCGGTTTTTACCTGAAAAGTCAGCATGGATAGAGTTAAACTAGACGAAACCTGATCATGAAAATATTTATCACATTTACACGAAAAGGTAAACATTTACACGATTAGGCCACTACATGAAGATCTAAATACAAAAATACATTCTGTAAACGAAATGGCCGCGTTTACATGCCGCTTTGTTGGTCAAGTGAAATATATGCTTCTGTCAGCTACAAATAAATGTAAAAGAATATGTCGGTATATAATGTTAACAACACAAATTTCATAATGTAGCAGACGGCTTGGTATTCTAAAGTGTGCATCAACATACTGCAGTACTTTATACTAGTTAAGTTTGAGCCTCTTTAAAAGTTGGGAGCTTCTAGCATGGTTTTGTTTGCACCCCGACTATGTTTGTAAATATTAATTGAGTATATGTACATGTATATATCTAAATAAAACAACTCCATGTACACATGCAATCATGACAGCCTTTATCGTGAAACTACGAAACAGATCTTTCTGAATCAGAAATAGATGTTTTTTTACTTAGTGATGCTATATGTGACTAGATTTTTGAAACGAAAATAAAAGAATTTTAAAAATTTTGAGATCACATCAAGTTAAATTCTTGTTCTTTTGATTTCCTTAAACATAGTTTTCAGATAACCGTTTGTTCCAAACATGCTGTTGTTCCTACAGCAAAAAAATCCAAGTACAAAAAATCCACACTGTCAGTGTCAATAAGGCAAAGATCTCAGTTGTTATTATGTCGGCCCAGGTTTGTCCTTGAATCAACAAAAGTTCTAATTAAGCCTTCACTCCAGAGAAATCTGTGAAAACATTCTCCTTGAGAGTTTAGGAAGGACAAAAGGCCCATTGAGCCTGTGTTGTTCACCTGTTTCTATTGTTGTGGTCGTGATCTTGGACTTAAAGCTAAATGTTTCTGCTAACTACAGACCACAGTGACCAATCCAGAATTCTTACTGACCCAAATAAAATAATTGGAAAAATATAAAGTTAAAATCTGGTATATTTCAGAATCAGAAAAAAATGAACCCGCAAAGCAGAGGTGTTCAGTTGAGATTTTAAATCAACCTAAAAAACAAAAGGACCTGTTCAGGACCATGATAGTATTGTTTGATTGCCATTTGTTTAGTTACTTTGGGGATTTATGTTTTCGCAGTAGCCAAAGCCATATAAAGACGGGGGTACCATTTTGAAAATGTTGATGAACTTGGAGAAGATGTGGACATGTTTGAGTGTGAATTGATTTAAAGACTGACAACACTAGGTCGGGGTTGTGAAAAGAAGTGGAAAGTTACCCAGCTTATCAATATATCATAAAAACAATTGGTGGCGACAAGATACTTGGTAACAATTTCTGTTAATATTTACATATCAAACCTAAGGTAAGAAGTAGAATTGGTTGTCTCATTTCCCCCATTGAACCATACAGTTATACTACAGTACTAAAGAAATCCACTCATTTCAATTGATGTAAAATGAATTCCCTTCATCCATGGATGTTTTTTGCAAATGGTGAAATTTCCTTCTCCTTAATTTAAGAACACCTTACTTTCCTTTTTGGGCCCCGCCCCACAAACCCCAGGAGGGGGCTACAACCTTCACTTGTATAACAATGAAATCCAGTGGCCCAGGGATGCTCCATATGAAATTCAGTGAAATTCAATCCTAATCCTTTCATCCATGTTTAAGAGTACACTTTTTAAAGAAGACCTCACATCCTTTTGAATGAGTTGTCTTTTAAAGACAAAGAGAAGATGAAAGAGAATGGAATAATTGTAATTATAATATTTATGAACATTTATTTCACCTGAATTGTATTTTACCTGAAGTAGAATGTATATGTAATATTGTGTGTTATTGTATTATTTTGATATGGATACATAGGCTTAAAGCCTGCGTCCATTACAATTCCTAATAAATAAATCCTAATAAAATAAATGATGGATGGTACACAATGGCATTGGCTCAAATTGGTTAAATGGGCCTTTGGACCAGGGGAGCTTAAAAAGATCTAAAGAACAAAAATTTTTGTGTGGCCTGGAGGATTACATTTTATTTATACTGAAAAAGTTGTTTCTTTCATAGGGTTTGTTATCTGCAAATTTTGCTGTTAGAATATTTCCTGCGAAAATTGTAACCTGCAAAGTAAATGGCTAACTAATCCATTTTGTTGTTTAATTAATATGAAGGGATTTGCCAACAGGTGAAGCCTATATAAATCTCCGCCAGTTCTTACTGCAGCATTTGGTACTATGGCCATTAGACCTTAAATCTGCGAAAAATGATACTGCGAAATTGATCAAATTAGGGACAAAGGAAACACAAGTTCTACTGTATATCGACTGACATTTAATACATGTCGAAATAACAAAGAATCGTGCACCAGATCTGGCTTACAATTGTCTACTTGATCAATCAGGAAGAAAAAAAACCTTAAGATCATCCGCACTTTTACACTTTCTTGTTTACTTCTTGTTTGAAATCTGGGACATATCTTTGTACTTTTGCCTAATTTAATAGTACAACTGAGAGGAAGAGCAGCTCCTAGAAACCTGATGGTCTTTAAATCCTAATACAGGATTTGTTTTTCGATCCCTGGTGACAAAAATGCATTAATCAGGATAAGGAGGAAAGAGTTGGTGAGGATTGGCTAGGAAAGTTAGCATGCTAACAAGGGAATGAGTGTTTAACATGCCGAATTTAACTCTGATGGATAGCATCAAGATTTTAATTGTTTAGCCAGAATCTATAAAAATGTTTAGGGAACGACAATTTGATTAATATCACCCAATTTTTTTGGGTGTTGGAATTTGGATTTCCTGACATTTGTGAGAAGTTAAGCTTTGTTAATATCCGGAAGTTAATCTGTTTTTCGAGGCATGTGATACAAAGTTTAATGATGGCCAACAAGTCATTTGTCCTATACATAATTACAACTCAAGTTTGATGTAATAGCAAACTGAAATTTCCTTAATCTATTTATGGTGCAACAATATTTCTTTGCACATTTTAACTGTCTATCAATATCAATCATCCAAACCAAAGAACAATGATAGAAGCTCTGATCCTGTGACATAACCATGATATCATGCGCAATTTATTACTCTCACAGTATTGCTTTCCTGAAATGACATTTTACTACGGACTGTGTGTCAGAACAGCACTCCGTGAAATGACATTTTACTACGGACTGTGTGTCAGAACAGCAGTATATTGAGTTCTGACAGTATGACCTCTGTGAAATGACATTTTACTACATCCTGTATGTCAGAACGGCAGTATATTGAGTTCTGACAATATGACCTCTGTGAAATGACATTTTACTATGGACTGTGTGTCAGAACAGCAGTATATTGAGTTCTGACAGTATGACCTCTGTGAAATGACATTTTACTACGGACTGTGTGTCAGAACGGCAGTATATTGAGTTCTGACAGTATGACCTCTGTGAAATGACATTTTACTATGGACTGTATGAACAGCAGTATGACCTCCATGAAATGACATTTTACTACAGACTGTATTTCAGAACGGCAGTATAACAAGTACCACACAAGAATGACAGCTAGATGATAAAGTATTATGTCTTGATGTTAGTAAGATGAAGTGAATGCTACTTGTTTTAACTCTTTCCGTACCGCAACTCCGGTCCGGATTCCGTACCGGATGTACTTATTAGACTCGCCCCCGCGCATATAACAAAATTGCGGATTATAAAGGTACTTTTTAGAATAGGTGTAACTGCCGCAAGAATTAAACAGGTAACCGTGAACAAATATTGTTATTGTTTCATGTTCTGGTTCATAGACAAACACTTCTTAATTTTCGTAGTATAATGACTAACTGGCAGCTGATTATGACTGAATGTGGAGTCGCTGAGTTTTTCTAAATACAAGTAGATTTCATCAAGACTTATATTAGAATATTCAAATTTACTTCCATAAGTCTCAACAAATATCTGATGATGAATTTACGAGTGTTCGTATCCAATTAAGTTGCCACCATCTTGTTTACATTTGAGGCACCAAACGCAAACACCTTGCGGCAAATGCGAGAACATTAAGTTACATAATAAAAAATTGTACTCTGCACAAAATAAATTATTTCTTTCAAACTGATGGGTTCTGATTTTAGCGACAATTGTTTTTTCGCGACAGTCTCGTGCGATAACCAACTAAACATCAGGCAGGTTACATCAAAGTCTCTTGTCGTGTGTACACGACAACAGGGATGAGACGGCCCTTTATTTTGTCGTCTGTACACGACAACAGGGACCAGGATGACATATTGCTGTCGTCTGTAACACGGTATGGAAAGAGTTAATGAGTTTAACGCAACCTTTTACAGCATTCATTTCACAAAACAGTTGATAAAAACACAACTGAAGTATTCACTCATCCTAACGACAGAAGAAATGACAGAGTTATTCATGCTCGACTGAAGAGGCTGCAGGTTTCAAATCCTGAAATGTCATGCTTGGGCGATCAAAGCCCAGTTGTTAATGTATATGGCTTAAGTGATGCTTGTCAAATCAACACATACAAATGTACTGTAAAGTTAAAGTCACTCCAATGTTACCATGCTAAGGAGATGATGCACATTAAATTGAAAAAAACCTTGTTACAATTTCATCTGCGGTATAACTGTCACATACAGTACAGATATTAAGGTAAACGACAGCCTTTGGGCATCTAACAAAACGTGACAAATCATTTTTTTCAGTTACTCTTGTGTTCTATGAAGCCAGTGACTTCCTATCACATTCAGAGACCTGGTATTGACCTAAGGAACTATAGTAACATAGGTGGTCACAAGAAATCATGCTAACATAGACCGTTAAACCGTTAAACAATGGTTATATACAGAATTAACTGGGACCATTAGCACATGTGATATCAACAGGAAGCATGGTGACACATGACATTAACACGAACTATGGTAATATGATATTTAACAGGAACCATCATAATATATGACATTAACAGGAGCCATGGTAACATGTG